TTCCTGATGGACCGGCAACAAGGAATCTGTAGATACCCCTTGTCAAAGGTCTTTTGTCACTTGGAAAATCCCAATCCCGGCTTGTCAGTCGCAGCTGATGCTAATTTGATATTCGCGCTTGTCGGGGTTACCCGGTGATAGGCGAATGGCGCTAATGGATTATAGGTTGATGTGCACCTGTACATACATTGTGGGGGGATTTTGGGTGGTGATTTACGGTATTTTAGGTCCCGACGTCTTGGACGGGTCTTGGTTCACTGCGGGAAAAACCCAAAGTAACGAAACAACGTGAAACGAAAATAACGAAGAGTGGGATACGGCACGCGTCGATCCCTAATTTCATCAGGGTGAGTGCGCAAAAGGCGTATGAATGAAGAGCTTGTAATTTCGCCAGAGCGATATATAGGTGTGTACGTACAGATGCGGAGGGTCGCGACTACTACAGGGGGAGCACACACACTGTACTACGCTTACTGGGTAGGGGAGGTGAAGAGGGGAAGGGATACGAGGGGTAGGGGCGAGGGAGGGCGGGCACGCTAGGGGGATGACGCTGCTATTGCTTTTTACGAGCGCGAGAGCGTAACTCGAAAGTAGGTCAAACGCCCCCCCCCTCCCTGTGACTCTTGTACACACACACGCGCTCGCGCTCGCGCTGTACAGTCCCCGATTCACTTCTTCAATTCTGTTCCGCTTGGTCTTGTTTTTTTCCCTCTTTTTTTCCTTCTTCTTCCTCAAAGCCGTTCTTCATCTCTCGAGTCGACATTGTCGCGAGATCCTACGCGCTTATCGCCCAATGGTGGAGAGAGCGGTGGTGCCGACGTGCACAATGGGTCGGGAACGAGTGGCATATTGCACCGACGATGCTATCGCGGCAGCAGTAATTTCAACCCCATTATGCACTTTTGCGCCATTTGTAGTTTTACACCCGGTGGTTTGTCATTCGTTCTGCGCCCGACTCAAAGTTCTCCAGAGCTTTTTCTCCCTCTGTCCTTATGATTTGATAACAAAACGTTTTCCTTACCAGGGCTACCTTTAGCATAAAAACCACACCTGTGCCCGTGTACACTTTCAATGAAAGACCCAGAAGGAGGAAGGCACCGCCGCCACCCCCAGTAGTATTTGCTCGTAGCGAGCGAGGGGTGGATAAATCGCCCAGGGAAAACTGGCGCAACACAAGCACCACCAGCGACGCTCGAGGGGCAAAGCCAACGGGAGCGCGCGCGCGAGGGGAAACGACCAATCGCACAACGGCTTTCGCTCTTCTTTCCCCCTCCTCGTACGTACGCTGCGTACCTCTGTGTTATTGTCATCGGGCTGGACTACTATCACACGGGGGGAAACTGTTACGAATAATCCAGAGCAAGAAACAGAGCGTCAATTAAAATCGACGAGGGTTAGCCGTAGTATTTTCAGCTACCCCCGGACGCGGCGTTGTTTCGGATTTTTCGCGTTTACGGGGGGCCCCCTCGCTGCTTAACCAACCGTGTGCACGCGTCATCGCTCATCGGCGCTTTTGAACTACTTATCCCGGGAATTATTCATCTATTCGAACGGTAGACACACCCACACGCTGAATTTAGACAAACGCCTCTTTTTCCACCCCTGAGTGGTCCAATAACCCGCGGAGGGAAAGACAAATTTGCTTCGCGAAGAAAAAACAGTCTCCGAGTGAGCTGATTCCCTGCACCACACGATGCACCCCTCGGCCGCGTAACGCACTCGAAACACGGGCCATCGCATATTAATCCACGTTTGCCCGAGATTTATTTTCAGGTCGACTGGGATTTATATACGTATACACGCACGACGGAAGCAATGCCACGACCCCACCGCGCGGTCGGTGAGATAAAAAGAAACGCTTGCGTATACACACAGGCACACGAAGACGCGGAAAAGCGTTGGCACAGCGCAGCGTGTAGTCGGGGAAACAGGGGGTGGAGCTTGCGTTCCGGGGTGGGGGAGCTCGGCTCGTACCGTCGACGCCCTTTCTGGCTCTCTCAATATTGATTTTGCCCCCCACTCGTTTACCTCGCGCTCGTGCTCTCTCGCGCGGCTCCTCGCTGTGTGCGCGTGTATAATGTGCAGTTTGCGCAACGGAGCTCGCGTGTGCATCGAGGGGTGGGGCTTCACCACCTGAATAACCCCCTCCGACACTCGCTCGACTCTCGGGCGTACAGGAGCTGGGGGGGTAGCCCACGATAGTGGCGCGGCTCTGGACGATTATGCAGAGTGGGAAACTATGGTAGTTCGTACACGGGTGAGTGTGCGTGAGTGGGTGCACGAGAGCTGCCACTGTGGAGCGAGTGCCGTATTGCACCCCCTCCACCCCCCATACCTGCACCTGTACGCGCGACTCTATTTCTTTCTTCCTTCCTTGCTATTTATAATGTGCCTGCTAGCTGCTATCTACTTTTGTTTGAGTGTGTCTATATACATACCCGTATGTTTGTTTTCGCTCTTCCGTTTTACGGGTGCAGGGATAACGATGCCTGTGGACTTTTGAACCGAGTATCCTCATTTCTTTTCTTTCTCATTCCGTAGAAAATGCGCTGCCTCTCGTTTCGCGAGTAATTATTTATTTCATCAGTTTCCGTCGATGGCTATTGATTCCTCGATACCCCGTTATTTAGAATAAAAAAAAAAAGAAAAAACCTGCCTCGTATCGATATTCACTGAAAAACCTTACGTTTTCAATCGGCACGCAGGCGGTGTTTCAACGGTATTTCATCCCGTTATATCCAATTTTATTTCCACGTTGATCGGGCCAATATTTCAAGTCTGCGTTGCGTCTTCATCCGTCATTCCTTCTGACGTCTGACCGCATACGGGTCTGTACTACTGAAGTTCCACTGTACCTGGATTGCATACCTTTAGGATGCATTTATATTTTTACACGTTCGACAACTCGTCAAATAAAAAAAATAAATAGAGAGATTTTCTTTAGATGAGTTCCTTGAAAAATGGACAGGCATTAATTTCAATCGCAGCAGTTTCAGCCAAAGAGCTCAAGAGAGGGTCGAGGAATCCTCCTCTCCGGGCTTGGAAAATCTGCCCACCGAGTTAATCTTCATTCCTCCTCCATTTTTTCACGCGTTTGGGCGTTGATCTTGTTTCCCTTCCTTTTTTTTTTTTTTTTTTTTTCTTAGGGTAAGAGTAAAAAAGCCAAAAGAAACACGGGCGCCCAAGGTGTCGGAAACTCCCGCTAACCCCCGAGATAATGGCCGTCACTGTCTCCGGGGCTCTAAGAGGGAGTTATGGTTTTTATCAATCCCTCCCTCCTCTCTTTTAACGTATTCTTCGCATTGTGGATATAACCCATTGTTTTGAATTTTCATTATTTTATTTCCCTGCACCTGAAAGATCAAGTATCACCTGTACAATGGAAATTCATTCATGAGCTCGGAGGACGATGATACGGGTTTTTTTTTTTTTTTTTTTTTCGTCGCACATCCAGGGGACGAATCGCGGTAAAAATTTGTCGCGTCCGTAAAAAAGAGCTGCGTGTCCTTTATGTACGTACAGGGAAAGCAGATCAATCACCGTGGCATCGGCAGGGTCCTTTTCACGCCGGCTAGCCATAGCAGAGGGAACAAAAGAAGAGAAAACGGGCATTGAGAAATACACTCGCGGTGCCCGTGCGTATACACATACATACCGTACGAGGGGTCATCGTCGCCGCGGCGTTTGTACGTGTCAACCTCTTTCTCCTGTTCCTCTATGGGGTTTTTTTTTTTTTTTTTCGCAGCATCGGAAAAACAGGGTAGAACCAGGAGAAAAGACTGTTATTTTCCCTTAGAGCGGCTGTTTTTCTCAATTGGTCGGCGTCAGAGGGCTCGAGAACTCGATTCCGCGGACCTTTTTTCGTTTGTTTTCCAGTTGCGCCCGACAAAGGAAAGGTCTCTGTCAAATTAAAGTTTACGTCGAAACGGGGATTCCCATGAGGTACAGCAGCGATCAGATCCCACCGAGCCAAGGGAGGAAAAGCGTCGCCGGTCGTTAATCACCCCGAGCTCTTTAGAGAAGGTTTCTTGCCCGAGAGCTCTCTCTTGTCAGGCGCTTCCGACTTTCCGTCGGCATCAACTGTACCCCGTAAGTGGCCCATTACGGAACGCCTGCACCGCAAAGGGGGAAAGAACGAGCTTTTCCGCTCTCTTTCATCCCTAAACCGCGCTCCATCGATCTGTTTGGAAAACGATACGCCTTTCGAACGTATGCATGAATCGCCGCTGCATTTCCAAGCGGAAGAACCGCGCTTGCAATTACGGTGAAAAAGAGGCTCGGGAGGAAAATTTAATCGTCGTTGTAGCGCAAGGGAGCCTCGGTCCGGAAGAAGAAAAATAAAAAAAATTTACCCGCCGAGAGGTTAATCACCTGCCGCCGCGCGCGAGTTTTCTTTTCCCCGAGAGCGCGTGCGGTCTCCTGAATAATTTCGTCCGCGTCCATTGGCCGGCGCCTCCGGGCGCCTTTCTTTGGGCCTCTCCTCGCCGCAAAAAGAAGCTCATTTCGATTAGGGACAATGACGGCGTCTCGCGCCGCTTGAAAGCCTCCGAGTGTATCTTTTTTAACCCCCACTACGGAAAAGGGTGACTTTTCTTCTTTTACTTCTGCGTGCGTGCACGGGTGAAAGGAAGACTAGCCGGGGGTGGGGGGCTCTTATTTCACGGGTGAACGTTTACAGGGGAAAAAGGGACAGGCTCGACGAAAGTTCGCCCCCTTCGCTCGGGTACACGTAAAAATTTGACTTTACGGGCATTCAAACGCTCGAAATCTACGATGTCCAAGACACGTAAGCTGAGTCGCGCTACTTATTCACTGCGTTGGTGAAAAGAAAAAAAAGTTGAAATAGAGGCCAAAAGAGTGCGTGTTCCCAGCTCGTTAAATTTGTACCTCTGTTATCCTTTGTACTTATACATGGGCAGGATAACGCGTTTGGATTCCTGTATATCCTTGAAAGTAGGAATGAAAACTAATCGTTGCCTTTTTTTTTCTTTATTTTTCAGGAGCGCATGACGGCCAATGGAAACTCGCCGCTGGACAACATGCGCACGCTCGAGCACTACCTGAGCGACATCATGCGGGCGGGAGCAGCGGACTCGCAGGAACATCTCAAAGGTAACGTGTTTTGTGTGTACGTGTATGGTAACTCTGTGCAAATAACGGAGCCTCTCTCGATGTTTAAAGATGGGCCCCTTTGACTCTAACGATGGCTCATCCTCCTCGTCCTCTACGAGCGTGTCTGTCCTCTGATGGCGTGAAATTACGAGTTTGTTTGGAGGAGGTGTAATGCGGATCGTATCTGGTTGTATCTCGTGAAATATAACGAATCAACGAGCGTGTCAGTGGAACGGTGTTAATTTGATACCCCGAGCGTGTCGATATATGCCGCGCGTAGTAATAACAACACTGTGAAACAAAAGTAAAATTCCATTACCCGGAGAAGCAACAGCAACCGGCTCTATTTTTATCGCATCGGTTTCAATCATCAATTCAATTCGAGGCCTGCTAATTTACATCGGGGGAAAGCAAAAATATCGTTCGACGGATGAAAATGACAAATAAACGCTGTGGTTTTGGCCCAAAAACAACAGCAGAGCACATCACTTCATCGGCTCGTTGTCACCCTTCCACCTAATAGTCCCACGGAGCATAGAGCAAACGTAACACACATTTCGCCGAATATGCGAGGTATTAGAGTCACGGTCGCGAGTTCGCTCGGGTATTTACCTGCATTAGGTTAATTGATGGCAAACTACTGCCCCATCTCTCTTTCTCACTCGCTTGTACATGTATACGTGTATACATGTATACGCTCGACAAAGTTTGGAAAACACTTGGCTGCGGCGAGGCCTATACGCCACGGACGCCACGGCGAGTTTACCAGCGCGTTCGCGCTCCGCTGAGCTTTTCTCCGCCTATATATTATATATATGTACACAGAGTTGGTGAATTTCGCAAGTGCGGCTATTGTATCTGTTTCTGTTTTCCGTAACTTTGCCTAATGGTTGCTAATGGACGATTTCTCCGTGTAATGGATTGCTCGAAGATGAGTGTAGGTATGTATGTTACACTTGGAGAAGAAAATAAAAACCATAGGTATCTAAAAGTAGCTCGTCAAGGGCGAAATGGAAGCTTTCAGAGTTGAAAAAAAAAAAAAAAAAAAAAAAAAAAAAAAAAAAAAAAAAAAAATTGCTGGTTTAAGCGTAAACGTAGAGCGTATTGTATATAATGGCGAAATGCGTCGCGTCGTTGTTGGAAGGAAAGATCGGACGAGTGGCGCGCTAACGACCTATTTTGCGCTATCCATTTGGGGATGTGCGCTTCCGTGCGTCCCTTTCTCCTCATCTCGATCTTTCTCCCTTCCACGCCAGTTGTATAGAAGTAGCGCGTTAGTGTACATCGCTTCTCTCTGAGATTTTCACACTTTTTTTTCTACCTCCGTACCCGAGAAATGCAGTTTTATAGACGGTAGATTTTTGTCGTTGCAAATTCATGGAAAAATAAATTATAAATGGGACCCATGAACAAGTGTATGATACAGGCAGTTAGTAAAACATCACTAAGAGAAACAATTTCCCCTCGTATGCAATGGAAACAAGGAAGGGGTATACACCGAATGCAAAAGTGAACGAAAAGTTGTGCACACACGCACAATAGAAGCAGTAAATAACCGCTTTCGTGTAATATTTAGCAACGCTGTAAGTTTAAGCTTACGCAAATGCGCCACTGCTTTTATCAATGCCTATTCTTTTTTTCCCTCCAAGTGTAGCAATAAAAAAAAATGTACGCATAGCAGCGAGATAGGAAAAGGTAAACGTTTGTGAAACAATTGTGATTTCTTCCTCCCTTGTTTTTTCATCGGATGGCTTTCAACTTTCATTTCAATCACACATTTTGGGACGATTGCGCTATGACTTTTATCAATTTCTTAACAAATTCACATCCGAGTAGAGGAGGTGGTAAGAGTCAACCCAGTCATCCCTTCTCTCATGAGTGTGAAAATGCTTCTCGAAAAGGAGTGAGTTCAAAACAAATACTGCTCCTTCAGGATGAGTAAAATATTAAACATATTTCCCTTGCCTTATTCCTTTCTTATGAAAAAAAAAGAAAAAAAAACAATTTGTTCCATTATTTCACATATCATCCAACCATCGAGATATAAGATATATCTAATGAAAAAGCTTTTTTTTTCAAGCAATGATATTTTTGGATACAATGAGCGACTTACCGTCAATGACTGTAAAGTCAATGTTTTTACACAGATTTTCTGTCACTCGACTCACTTTGTAGCATGTATTTTCCAAAATAAAGCGTAGCCTAACCGTACGCCGGACGGGACTCGTACATTAAACTCGAAACCGAAAAAAGTCAGCAGCGCGAGCAACTTTGATTTATTCCATCCAGGGGCTTCCCTCTTTCTTTTTTCCCCTCCTCCGAGGGCATATACACGCTTCCCGCGAGCAAAAAAGGTAAATCGGAAATAAGAAACAGTGTGTGCAGAGGGTTGGTTTTTATTGCCGCAGAATTGATCCATCATCGGGCGCACGAAAATGGTGCGGTGCTGCTCCCCTTCTCGTTTTCCATTCATTTTTTTTTTTTTTTTTTTTTTTTTTTTTTTTTTTTTTTTTTTTTTTTTTTTTNCGTCGGCTCTCGGGTATAGGCTTTACGAGATCCCGTTTTGTCCGTCGCACGAGAAACCATCCCCTATTTAAATAATTTGAGATAGGTTTTCGTGCACCAAATCTCCCCGCGATACAGCTCAAATTTATTTATTCGTCTCTTTTTACCCAAGTCCCGTCGCCGCACTATTTTTCCCGGTCACTTTGAAAAACGCCCGAAAAATCTTGGTCTTCGAAAAAAAAAAAAAAAAAAACGAGAAACGTCTATAGAGCCAGTTTTCATCCTCGACTCCATTCAATTCACTCGGTGGCGTTGCCCGATCCCTCACGGCACGCACACATATATATTTTTGTTTTAACGCTCTTTTTGCGGCAGGAATATACCCTGCATCGCTGTTTCTCCGGTTTCGCGCTTTTTTGCTCGACTGCACTCTGAAACACGGCAAAACGCGCTTTTTCCTCTCCCATTCGTGTACGCACGGAGAACGGGTGGAAAAAATTGTCCGCGCTACGCAGGTGGTGATTTGATTCGGATGAGTTTTGATCCGCGCTTCCTCCTGCAAAAAGTTTCTTTTTTTTCTTTTTTTTTTTTTTTTTTTGTCACTCGGTGCATCTCGTTTTTCATCAAACTCGCTGTGAAAAAAAAATTGAATCCTCTTGAAAAAGAAAAAATATCTACTCACGCTTCGAGCGTCACCCTCGCCAACAAACACCTTTTTTCACGGCGCGCCAACAATTTATCGTCACTCGTGCTTGACAATGGGCAACACACACCAAAGTTATCAAAAGGTTCAAGCTCCCTTCTAGCGTCGCCATGTTGTACAGCGCTAACTTCGCTAACCTTGATTTTTCGCCTCGGAGAGGCTCGACGGCGCTCTTTTCTACCGTGGAAGAGGGATCGTATGGGGCGTTGAAGAGGATGCGATGGCGAGCCCCCTCAGACGTGCAAGGGCGACCCGTACGCGTGCAGCCCGGAAACGCAGAGAGAGACACCCTCTCCCTTCACTTCTAGCGTCTCTCCTTCTCGTGCTCTCAACCCTTTCCATCCTTGCACACCTTACCGGCGCCTATACGTGGTCGGCAGTGGGGCTCTTGTCTGTTTGTATGCGCGAACGCGTGGAAACATCAAACGATTTCGTCTACTCTTCTTTTTTGTGTGCCGTACGCGCGTGCAGAAGCGATCGCGCGGACAGGAGGAGGAGCACTGCTGTGTGGTGATGGTGATGCCGGGAAAAGGGTTTGGGGATGCGAGACGTACATTCGGGGTGTTTCTCTCTGTCTTGGTGCCGTGGCTCTACGAGGGTGTGTTTAGAGGAGGTTTTTGCGGTCGGTCGACTCGAGGGCTAAAGGATCGCTCCTCCATTGGTCGCTGTCATACTTTTTCTGCATGAATTTAAATTTATGAATGTATTTAATACGATTGTTGGATTCAAATATGATTTTTAACTATACGACATTTTTTTATATGCTATTCGCGTGTTAATTTTCAATCTTCATTAAAGCGTTTGCTACAAGAAGAAAATAACAATACTGATTACAATTCACGATACAGTATTTGTTACCCCAAGTTATGTCTTTTTTAAAAATTTGTCTAAAAAATCGGTTGACTTAGCACAATTGGTCAGCAATAGAAGGTTGCAAGTAAAAGATAACTTCTATCTGTAAATTAGAGACTCGAAATTTTTTCTTCCGCATAAATATGAAAGAGGCAACACCGTCGAATTAAAAAACGAAAAAAATAACAATTACTATCCTGTCGTTTGTGAAAAGACTAGAAAACATTTTTTTTCATCCTTAAAACGCGTAGGCAAATTGTTTAATGTATACTTGCTGTTTAAAACTATTAAGTTTTCTTCTTCGCGTCAACAGCTCGATTTGAAACGTAAATTTGTTGGCCCAGCTTTTCCCTATCAATTCGTGCTCAGTGTAAAACTTAAGTATTTCCAAAAACAGACACGCACCCCTGAAGTACCAACCCTCCAAGGGAGACAGGTACGAGGAGGCGTCGATACGTGAGCGGAGACGGAGAAGCGCGCGGACGCGCAAAACCCGAGATAAGTCTCCTGCAGCGGACAAGAACAATGGGGAGAGGGTGTTTCTGCTGCTGCCGCCGGAAAGGAGAAAAAAAACCAAAGGGCACCCCTTCGGCTTCTGTTTTTTTCGCAAAGGGAGCGACCAGCCGGCAGCGAAGCCCACGTTTCGCCGATGCACTCGACGACACTGGCTAGCGCTTTTTTCCTTACTCTTCGGCCTGTAAAGGGTGCATTGTGCGCGCGTCGAGTTGCACTGGAAACGCGTGTCCTTGGGACGTGATTTTTTACTTCCATCCCTTCTCACTCCACCCGATTATACTTGCACTCGATACACATGTGGTCCCCTAATTAGCTCGCGATGCCTCGTTAAAATTCAATCACTCGCGTGAGTCTCCGATTCGATGGAGGAAAAAGAAATCCGCCCCTTTGCGGGGGAAAATCTGTGGGATCTCGAGCATAATTT